TTTTTCACTGAATCATTGTTATGAGTAATATAAAACTGGCATGGGGGAAAAGAAAAGGAAAAAATTAGTTAAGATAGTTATACAACCTGTTTCTCAATTCACTGAAAACAAAGGTTTGTGCTAATGTCATTTGGACAGTGTTTCTTGCCTGTATCTTTTATTCTTACTAACTACTAGGAAGATAACAATATGCAATATAGTAATTATTGTTACTGTCCTACTACCTTGATTTGAAACTATTTTACTTTTCTTTCTTTCAAATAAGAAAAAATTTAAAACTAGAAACTAACAGTTGTAAAATTGAAGTTTAACATTTCATTAAGACAGTATCTTTTATGATTTGAATAAGTGAATAAAATAAATTGGATTATGTATATCACTGAATCAATGTTATGAGTAATATGAAATGTTACATAAAATGTTCAATATAAATAAAACCTGAGTGGGTTCAAAATAAGTACTTCTAGGTAAATTCAAGTCAGTAATTTATTAAGTGTCTACTATGTGTAAAAATGGGGACTTCATAAGGTACACAAATACTCCTAGCAGAAATTAGCTTAGAATTAACTAGAAAATACACAGTAAGACTGCTATCTCCTAATTTAGGACTTTTTGGTTGCTTGGGAAAATAACAGGGCTTAGAGATGATGTAGTATTACACAATGCTCTAATCTAGCACGTCTTAAGTTAAACGGCTTTTGAAAATGACTTAATGTGAACGGGTTTAAAAAGTGTCTTTGATGGAGGAAATGGCTTTGATGGTTGCTTAGATACCACAAAAGCACAGGCTCAAGGCATTTCAACATTAGATCCAAATTAGCTGGGTGTCTCTGAAGGTTTCCTAGATGCTTTACAGAAATTGATCCTTAGAGAAATGCTGATAGCTGTTGACGTTCTTCCTTCTTCAACTCTTGAATCCCACACAGTTGACTGCTTTATATAGAACAGCATTAGGTAAGAACCTAAGGAGTGAGAAATATCAGGTCCCTGGCTGATTGCTCATGGCACCAGTAACAGCTGGAGCCAGTAAGCAGTCGCCACGGGACAGTTAGAGCAAGGAAAGGACTTGGATAGGAAGCTGCCCCTCAAACAGCTTAGCCAGTATGTGCAGGAAGCTCCCCAAGTCACATCCTGTCAGCACACAGCAGTGGCAAGTAGCTCTCAGTGTCTGTGTACCCCACACTGGAGAACCAGTGTTAGAACCCAGGCATGACAGAAAATCTATTCCTTACAGTAATAGTTCCTTCATATCAATAATGTTACAGAAACTGGAATTTGAGACATTTGGAGAATCCCATCCCATGTCAATTATTTTCAAAATAGCAAAGAATAAGTGAAAACATTTAGAATTCTTGAGATACTATTTATCAGCTGTAAACATTACACATTGATCATATACATATTAATCTAATAGAATATACAAGTTTAGCAAAATCATATTTTCCAGTGTTATTAATAGGATGTCTAAAAAAAGAAGGCAAATTTAGTCTTCATTCCAAATAAATGTAAACATTTTTAAAAGGCAAAACATAATGGCAAACTAGAATTTTATTGTTTAAAATCATTTTAAACAATCTACTTTATGGCAAATAAAAGCAAACTTGTCAGAACAACTTTTTCAAAAACAAATAGGGATTTTTTTTTTCCCTTTCATTTTTGTCTGTTATAAGTATAAAAGAAAATTACAAATCCTACTCACTTTTCTTTCAGATGTAAAAAAGTACCTTGGCTTTTTTTGTTTGTTTACTTCCAAAAGAATCTTATGTTCAGTAAGCCCAGATCAGTAAATAGCACTTCCTATATGCATGCAAGACTGTGGTTTGGTATGAAAAATACCAACATTTCTCTCTTTTTTTTTTTCTCTTAAAACAATAATTAACATGGAAAAATATGCTTCCTAAAAATTAAACCAAAAAAAAAAAAAAAACCTTTTTAAAAGTTAGAACATAGGAGGCATTACTTGGTCATTAGTCGGGGATACACAGTAAAAGTTAATCCACAAAACAGAGGGAAAATATCACAACTTAAATGTGCCAACCCCATGAGGAAGCACTGCAGCTGCTGCTGTAACTTCAGGAAGATGTGAAGTAGATTCTGCAGTGCAGCTGCCATACTTAAAACTTATGACTGGCCTGTGTTTATGTACTAGTTAAAAAATTTAATTTTGAAACATAAATTTTTAAATTTTTGGTGACACTCGATTTTCTAATTTTGCCAAGTTACTGAATGAAGTACATTATCTCATCGTAGTCTTATTTTATTCATTGCCATTCTTTATAGGGATATTAGTCACATCACTTTTTTCATTAAAAGGATTATTCAAGAGGAAACATTCTAATCCCATCCTTAAAATCCATGCTGCTCAACTCTAAAGTTTCTATAGTATGTAGAAAGAAAGCCTAAATCCTTTTCTGTGTTCCATGTTTCCATCTGTCAGAGTGAATCCTTCAGACTACAGCTATAAATGCCTTCACAAAAGGACACTGAAATTTAAAAACAGTAAGTACAAATTCAATTTTCCACAATGCTTTTATGTACCCCACAGGTGACAGTACCTCTGTTTTTAATGACAGTCCACTGTTAAAAAATATTGTGGCGACAGCAATGTAGGATACAGTTATTTCTGGCTTCAATGGCCCTAAAAGAGAGAAATGAATTACTATTAGAAAACAATTTCCATTTTCAAAGAAGAACTTATTGGAGCAGTGAATACTTTAACTAGTGCTGGCACCTGGGTTCTGTAATGGTGAGGCAGTTCAGCACTTGTGATATAGCCTGGTTCCAGAGAAGATTTTCCAGAGAGGGTAAAGACTATAACTATCTGGTTCAGCACATTATCCTGAGACCGGAAGAACACAAAAGCAAACAGCCTTCAAGACAGGATCTAATTACACCTACAATGGCATCAGGACTGATACCAAAATATCCTCAAATTCAAATAAAAGAATCAATGGGAGAAGTTTCTTGCTTTAATTTAGCAAATATTTCTTCTAGGATAACAGAAATAAAGTATTCATGCCCACATTCAGTTCTGCCCAAGATACTCATTGTTTTGTACAGAACACCTACTATTGTGAATGAAATATTACCTATAGAAAACTATACTTAATAATATATTGCTATGATGTTAATGATTAAGTTGTGCCAGGTTCTGGGGACACTGTGGTAAACTATACAGGCCTGGTCTTTGCACTGCAGAAAATCTCTAGAATTGGGCGAGCTTCACTGCACATGAATTAATGCTATAAAAACAGGGGTCACCCTGATATTTATAATATCACTTATGACTTGTACACAATCATCTGGAAGACGACATAACATAAGAACAAGAGTCTGTCAAAGGAAGCAATTCTGAGCAAATGCCACTTCCTACCTGTGCACAAGTGGCTCTCCAGCAGTAGAAACTGTGCCCCTTAAAGATACGTGACAGTATTTGGAAACTTTTTCTTTGCCCTCACTCAGGGTTGAGGAAGTGCTACTAGCATCTAGTGGGCAGACATCAGGAATTCTGCTAAATGTTCTGGGGTACAGAAAACAGTCCAATGACAAATTATCATGTCCAAAATGTCAATAGCACTCAAGTTGAGGAAACTTGGTGTGACGGAATATTTAACCATCTGAGTTTATCTCATAGTTGACGTTCTACCCATCATGTTTGTATTGAACTGAGTAGGACCTCTCCAGAATTCAGGTTTACTGAGAAACCCAGGACCTATGAATGTGAACTTACTTGGAAATAGGATCTTTGCAGATATAATCAACTTAAGATGAAATCTTACTGAATTAGGCTGGTTACTAATATAATGGCTTGTATTCTTATGATAGAAAAATTTGGATACAGATACACACACAAAGAAGATGGCTTTGTGAAGAGCAGAGACCAGGACTACAATGCCACAAGGCAAAGAATGCCAAGAATAGCTGGAGGCAGCTAAAAGACCCTGTGTGTGTGTGTGTGTGTGTGTGTGTGTGTGTGTTTGTGCACGCACGCATGCACATGCGCATGCACGGAATGGGGAATCAACCCAGGGCCTTCTCACTGAGCTACCTCTCCAGCATGTTTTATGTTTTATAAATCTCTGTTCTAAGCTACATCATTTATGGTAATTTGTTATTTAGGTTCTTTGCTGTTTTTAACTTGTTACTTTAAAACAAGAGAAACAAACATGACTATCCCCCCCAAAAAACCCCACCAATCCTACAGATACTGTTCAATAAATGAATATAAGACCAATAGGTATTTATTGAGCACCTAATATATCTCTGGCATTTGTAGTAGTACAATGTGATAAGACCTCAAACACTGCAATAAACTATTTTATATACTTGCAATTAACACAAATCGTTTTGTTGAGATCTGAGAAAAGTAAGATCAATATGAAAGGCACTACATTTCAGGGCAGTAAATGTTGTTCACAAACTTTTAAAAAATAGGTACAGTATATTATTTTTATAATTTTAAATAAATCTTTTCAGTTTACATTTAGGTTAGTACTTCTTCAACAGCCGAGAAGGTAAAGGTAATTCAGCAGTAAATGTTAAGGTCAAGGAGTCTGGCTTGATTTAGAGATAATGTAGATGGTTTGGAAGAATTTTAAATATCTTGTGTTTTGAAACTTATGTTATTTTTTTGCTTCCAAAACCATGTATCTCATGAGCCATTCTTACTGATCACGGGTCTGTCCACAGTGGTACCTCCATAACTTCTACACAGGAAGGGACAGAGTCAGCAACATGTTTGCACGTGAGCATTCAGGGACATGTCTAAAACAGTATCTCTACAGACAGCACGTAAGATTTACGTGCACTGCATGTTTCTGCAGCAGACTAAAGAAATCCACCTTAGTTGACCAATAACTACTTATTGTTGCTGTCATTGTTGTCACTGCTGTTGTCTTGGCAGTGATTGGGATCAAACCCAGGGACTCACACATGCCAGAAAACTAGTTACCATCAAACTGCACCCCCAGCACCATGCGAGCTTAGTTTGCCCAGGCTGGTCTTGACCTTGTGTTCTTCTGTTGGAGCCTACTAGGTAGCTGAGGTAACAGGCAAACACAACCAGCGACATAGTTTAACTTTTTTTTTCTTTTAGCATACATTGTAAGTTTTATTACAAAATTCTGTAGTTATAGCCATTATCTTTTTACTAAAAATTACAATCTGAAATATTTGTGTCTTCCAGATGAATTGCTCAAAAACATTTTTATAATTATGGACACTGTTAATAGCCTATAGGGCTCAGCAGTCTAAGGGCCGCCCTGGCAAGCACAAGAACCCGGGTTCAATACCCAGTACTGCCTGATGTGCTGGCCCCGGAACTCCAGATGCATGATGGTGTAACTGTAATCTCAGCACTAAGGGGACTGAGATAGAAGGATCACAACAGGTCTGGGCTGCATAGCGAAAGCCTGCACTAAATATATAAATAAAAGATTAAAAAATTAATAAAATGAGAAGATTTTACTCTGTAAAATCTTAAGTAAAATCTTAAAGACTGGGTGTGGTGGCGCATGCCTGTCATCCCAGTGCTGGGGAAGCTGAAAACAGGAGGATTACTATGCATAGTGAGACCCTGTACCAAATACATAAAAAAATAAATAAAAAAGCGTATAAAAGCCAGAGTGTTATTTCAATTTATTTTAAGTTTCCCTGGTAATTAAAAGCCAAGTGCCCATATTTGATTTATCTAGTACCTAAATCAACAAATCTTTCCTGTCTGAAAATCTTAGCAGAAGTATAAAACACTTTATATTAACTTTGGTTTTTAAGAAGCTAATTGTTCCTACAATCTATACACACATACATAACGCCAAACTATTAACTAAGTAATATAATTTGATGGAATAATCTTAGCCTTTTAATGTCTTAAATCCTAGAGACAAAGTACATTATCTTTTGTAATACATGCACATCTAAGTAACTGTAATCTATGAACAGAAATGAGGAGGATTCTGGGGCTACTTAGGATGTACTTGTCCTGAGGAAAGAGAAATTAATTTTTATTTAAACAAACTCAAGACCCCTCTGAGACATAATCACCTGAGAAACTAAAAGCTGGCCCAACTAGGGAAGAATGAGAAGTCACCCAAATTCGAAATAAAAACATGGCTACTATTTACAGAGAAGTCAGTTGAAGCTATAATATAAAAATTATATTTAGCCCTTGTTCAAATTAATAACTATATCCTCCAAATTACCAAAATAGCCAGATTGAGATAAAAACACAGTTATAAAGCTCAAACAGGTATGTTTTTACTTTTAGGCAAAACTCAAAATATGTTTTTCAGGGCCGGGGAGATGGCTCAGTGGAATAAACACTTCTCTGACAAGCGCAAGGGCCTGAGTTCGATCCCCGGTTCTGCCAAAAAAAGAAAAAAAAAAAGAAAAAAAAGAAAAAAAAAAGAAAAGGGCAAAATATGTTTTTCAACATAAATGGAATTGGGGTGGCATAATCAGAGAAACTGGCCATTAAAAAAATTAAGCCCATGTGGCATAGTAGTACAAAGCACAAGTTCAAGTGCAGCTTGGGCTACACAGTGAATTCAAGATCACCCCATCCTACATAGCAGAAACCTTGTCAAGAGAAACACACACACACACACACACACACACACACACACACACACACAGAGCAATATGGGGCTCCAAAACCTATGCTTTTCAATGGGATGAAAAAAGGAAAATGTTTTGGAATACTTAAGAATCCAAGAAACTATTTCCATTACACAAAATCCATCTAATCAACAAAGTTAACTTGAAAATGTCTAAAATACAGTAAAATAGTCACAGCAATACACTTAAGCTTACAGAATGTTTTTTATTATGTTTTTGATGGAAAAACAAACCAGTTTCTTATTAGCATCTTATTAATAGTAATTGTTATGTTTTGTGTCTAGTTGTCCCTCCAAAGCCTCATGCAGTCATGGGGCGGACTTCTAGAGTTTGTGATTAACTCATAATCCACTGGGATTATGGGAGTGCTGCTGGGATTATGGGTGTGAGTACTACATCCAACCTGGGGCAGATAGCCTGAATGCAACTTAAGGGAGACAGACTTCCTCCTCTCTGTAGCCATTCTTGCTGTTACTCCTCCCATTTGCCATTTGCTCTCTTGCTCTTTGTCACTGCATGAAAGGTTGCTCTTTTTTTTTTTTTTCCACAGAAATTTATTTATTTATTTATTTATTTATTTTGTGTGTGTGTGTGTGGCCAGCTCAGCCCACCTGGGGGCAGGGCTGGCTGGGGTGTGGTGCTGGGGGATTGAACCACAGTCCCTGTGCTTTGCTTAGCTAAGCTTGTACTAAGTAGGTGCTTTAGACCACTGAGCCATCTCACCAGCCCAAAAGGTTGCTCTCTTCAAAGTGCCGCTCTGCCTTGGAGCCAGCTGAGCAGGGACCGAAACCTCCAGTAACTGTGAGCTAGATAAGCCTTTCCTTCCTTCATTTTGGGTGTCAGCTATTTGTCCCACACACGAGAGAAGAGTAACTGAGACAGCAATTGCTTATGAACAACACAATGAGTACTGAATTCCCAGGAACACTAAGATGCACAGTAATAGCTCAGGGCTTCCTGAGGTCACAGTGGAAAAGATTACCAACTCTTCAGATTCAAAATACTTACATTCACTATGGCACCTTATTTTTAACCTTCTACTACATGTTGAAAAAATGAAGTGTAACTGAGTAAAAAGAACCTTGAGCTCAGCATTAAATTAGCTGAGCTTAATTCTCTTATAATTCTTCCCACTGGGAATGGGGAGATGGCTCAGCGCAATAAACGCTTCTCTGGCAAGCACAAGGGCCTGAGTTCAAGCCCTGGTTCTGAAGGGGGAAAAAAATTCTTCACACTAAAGCTTTCAATTTCTCTAATCTTAGCCTTCTTACTTCAATAAATTGTGGTATACTAACCAATTGACTATAAATATTTATGTATTATTTTATTATTTATATTCTGTCAGTCCATGTTTGTAGTTCATAATAATCACACTCTTCATGGGGAACTGGTACATGTACAGATCACATCTTCATTCTTTTATCACGTTCCTCTTTTCTCCCTCCCTTTTCCCTCTATCTCTTGACCTCCTTCCCATAGACAAAAGATCTACATCACTTTTTCCTATCATCTACCTTTTATTTTGTTCTCTGTTTACATTTTTAGTGTTTCATATATAAAGAATCATATGATATTTAAACTTGTTCGTCGATTTATTTCACTGAACATGGCTGTTTCAAGACGTGTCCATTTCTCTACCAATGACTCACGTCTATCCTTTATGGCACAGTACTACCCCAGAGTATATAAATACCACATTTGCTGTATTGACTCATCTGTGAACGGGCATAGAGGCCACTTCCAAGATAAAGCGATTGTAAATTGTGCAGCTATAAACACAGCTATGTATGTATCACTGTAGAATGATGTCTCTGCTTCTTTTAGGAAGACATCTAAAGGAAGTACAGTAACTAGGTCAAATGTAAGCTCTTATTTGAGAAATCGCCATACTGATTTCCAAAATTGTGTACCAGTGTACAGTCTTAGCCATAGAGTAGAAGCGTCTCACTTGCCAGCTTCTTAGAATCTGTTGTTACCTGCTTTCTTCCCAATAGTCCTTTCTGGAGAAATATAGAAATTTCAAATACAAACTTGTGGGCCATTTATATTCTTTAAGAATTATCTTTTTATTTCAGTTGTCTTTTCTTGAGTAAATCCTTTATTTTAGGGAATCTAATTATTTTGAGTTCTTTATATATGTATTAAATATTATTTCCTATTTCCTGTGCATCAAGTGTTCTGTTCAGAAAGTCCTGGCCCATGCTTATATATGAATATGTATTTTTTTGAGAGGTGCAACCATACACATATGTGATAGTTTAAGTATATAAGTTTTATACTTTAAAAAGTCATGCCTGCCCTCTCCCCCTGGACATACTGAGCCGGCAATTGAGACTGGGCATGGTGGGCACACCCATAATCCCAGCTCTTGGGAGGCTGGATCACTATGAGCCTTATCTACTAGTGAGAGCCGGAACGCCCTGTAGACCGTTCCCTAAAATACAGAAAGAAAGAAAGAAAGAAAGAAAGAAAGAAAGAAAGAAAGAAAGAAAGAAAGAAAGAAAGAAAGGGCTGGGGATGCTTAACATA